GGGGGGTTAGTGCGCAGCGCTCTAAATACTCCTCAAGTGTAGCAGAACTGCTTCCGGCACTTGTCAGCCTATGGTAGAGAAAGACACTGGTCTCTCAAAGGGACGGGGGGTATTGGAGTGACGTTATCAAAGGTACATCACTGGATTAAAAAGCCACATTCAGGCATGATGTTGATGATGATGATGATTTGTTTGGATCCCCAGGTGTGGCCACTGCAAGAGGCTGGCTCCTGAGTACGAGGCTGCTGCTAAAGTCCTGAAGGACAACGACCCCCCTGTTCCCCTGGTCAAGGTGAGGTCTTCATCTTGAACTTGATCTTGACATTATTTTTGGATCCACCATTAGCTTAACACTTACCTAAAACTACATACCATAAAATCTGCTCTTTAGAACAGCATGAAAGTTCATCTGAGTTGGTAAATTACATTATGAAAAACTTAAACTTTTCTCCAACTCAAAATTTGACTCACCAGAAATTTTCGACTGAATCACTCAGTCTTCCTCAGCTATCTGACCCAAATGCTGTGGACACTGCTCTTTAGAAGCAGGGCTCGAAATTCAATTTTTGGGAATAGGTGCACTGGTGTACCCACAGAAAAACATTGGGTGCACAGCTCCACTAAGATGCACATGCACCCGGTATTTCGAGCCCTGAGAACTCGGTTATGATTGGGTAGCCTTGTCATGACAACCAGAGGTTGCAAGGTTGCAGCAACCATATTTGGAGTCCAGACTGTCATGTCATCTCACCCACTCACTTCCGTAGCTCACACTGTCTTCTGGGCATCCTTAAATTTTGGTTTCCAGACATCTCAAATGAAGCTCAAAAGTTTCCATCCCTGGTTGAAGAGTGAATTGCAAATATCAAATTTGCTGATGTTAGCTAGCCTCCATAGCATGCCAAAAACTGGGGGTTTGGGGGGTCTTCAGGGTCTCTGGGAGCTTTTATGTGCTATTTTCTGATTGCATATTATAGACAACATAGCCAGCCTGATTGAATTACCCCCTTTATTTTAGAACTTGGCTAATCAGAAAACAGCCGAAGACCACCAAAACCCCAGCTCTATATTGACTTTAAGCCTGCTATGGAGGCTAGATGTTAGCCAAGTTGATTCTTTTCCTTCTATCTCACTGCCTATTTCTTATATCTGCAGGTTGATTGCACAGCAGACGGTGGTAAGGACACCTGTTCCAAGTACGGGGTGAGCGGCTACCCGACACTCAAGATCTTCCGCGGCGGAGAATTCTCCTCAGAGTACCAAGGGCCAAGGGAACAGAGTAAGTTTAAAGTTAAAACTTTTGATCCAACACAATAAAGTTTGCTCATCTAGAGCTTTCGACCAGCCACTCTGGTCTTCCTCAGTAGACTGACCCAGTGAGGCTTGTCACGTGGCTTCTTTTAAGTGTGACGTCAACACTGGGTCAGAGGATGTTGGTCACCATCGCAGTTGAGTGAAGTTAGTGTTGTATTTTTTTATCCTTTATCCATATTCCTTGTGGTTAATTTTGTTTAACTGATAATTTTTGATGAGGTGAGGATAATTTTTCACACTGAGAGTCAAGCAGTAAGCTAAGACTCCTGTCTATAATGACAGGGCTCAAAATTAACTTTTTGACCTAGGAGCACTGTGCTCCTAACCATAAAAAGTTAAGAGCACAGGCTAAAATCTAGGCGCACCAACAAAAAATATTGTATTGCAAAGGTGTTAATATATTAAAAACTAAGCTAGATCATATTTCCTTAAAAAAAAAATTCTATCAGCATCCTTAATTTTGAAAAAATTGGGCATAGGCCATAGGTTCTCCGGATGACCCCTAACTGGGGGCCAACGGTGCTTCCACAAGTTCAACAAGTGAAAAATACATGATACAAAATGTACATGTATTTACTACCTGGAACTTGGAGCAATTATTCCCAAAGGTGACATTGATATATTAAAAACTAAACCAAATCCTATTTCCCAAACAAATCACATATTGACACAGCTGAACAAATAAAAATGTGATCATGTCTATAAACTCCACTCAAAAAAAATTTTTGAGAGACACTCGGGTCGCGATACTAAGCATGATAATCTCTAATATCTCATCTGATTCTCCCAATGTATTAGGGACTTCACAATCACAGCATCCAACTGCACTAACACAAGAAACCAATAAATTCGGAAAATTTCTCAGTAATGTTTGAAAATTAACCTTATAAAAACATAAGTGAATTTTTATTTCAGGTGTAGCCGAAAAAATTTTTTTCATGCGTTTAAAGTTTCGTTTTAGCACCTTGTAATATGTACTTAGTACATGTATCTTGTACATTTGGATGCTATCTTGACCTTTGACCACTGTTGTTGTGAAACACCGTCGGCCATTTTGTCAGTCTCGCCGTAGATTTTCGAGCCGTTTTTTCGAGCAAATTTCAACGGTTTTAAACATTTTACGGCCTCAAAAACTCATATAACAAGGAAAGCAAGTTGTAGTTGTTATTTTCATGCGTAACATTTCTTCTGGGGATGGATTATTTTTCCACCGAGCTGCCGAAAATTAGCGTCATGCCGCGACCATGCGGTCGGGTGCGGGCGGCCGGCGGGAGTATCGGTGAGCTTTCACGATGTAAACAAAGACATTCGGAGTTGTTCGCATGAAAATTTTGCTGTGAAACGCCAGTGGGGTGTCAGATTTTCTACCAATGACAGCGTTTTCTTTGCGGCGTCATGGCGAGATCGACAATTCATCGTCAATTCACAAGATTGTGCCGACAATGGAATGAATAGGCTAAAATTTTTATTGGCGCACCGTGCGATCGTGATTTCAAATGTAGTCGCACCGTCAAAATTTTGGGCGCATATGCGACCAAATCAGTCGCAGTCACGAGCCCTGAATGACCATGTGTCCACTGAGTGATCTGTAAGGGCCAGGGACTGTAAAGCCTGGAGTCTACTCACAGAGGGAGCAAGGTAATCCCCAAGCAGATGTTTTGGTGGCTGCAAAAGACAGTATCAAATTGGCCAGGCAGTATCCATTAGCCAGACTGTATCCATTGGCCACAATAGACACTCCTCTGGCCAATGGATGCTGCCTTGCCACCGTATGATCTGCTTGGAGATAAGGAGCAAGGGGGCAGTTACTGGCTTAAGCACCTAGGTTGAGAGATCTTCTTGTACAGGGTTGAGTGAAGTATGATTTGGAAAGTGGTTTTGTAAGCTTTGTGTATTTTTTCCTTGACCTGCAGATGGCATTGTGAGCTTCATGCGTAAGCAGGTTGGACCCAGCGCTAAACCTGTGCTGGACAAGGAGACCATGGAGAAGTTCATTGGCAACTTTGAGGCCAGTGTCGTCGGTAAGTGATATTTTTTTAGAGCAGCAATAGAATCAATCCTTCTCTATGGGTCAGAGTGCTGGACACTCACAAAAACACTGGACAGAAGGTTAAATGGCTCATACACTAGAATGCTGAGAAATGTCTTGAACATCTCATGGACACAAAAAATTTCAAACCTTGAGCTGTACAAAAACATATTGCCGATTGCTGAAACAATACGGCAAAGGAGACCACGTTTTGTAGGCCACTTTTGAGGAAAAAGGATGAGGTCGTACACAAAGTCTTACTGTGGAACCCGAGTCATGGAAAGAGTACCCAGCATACCCTAGCAATAGGCTAGCATAATCGCCTGTTGCCACCCAGCAACTGGCAAAATTATGGAATTATTATACATGTACAACCCACCAGCTTCAAAACCAACGTTCACCACCATCTTCTAGCATTATAAACTTATATAAGTTCCCCATACCTTCCACCAACTTAGCTCAGTGCCCAGTAGTGGGCTTTTGGTAGCCTCCATAGCATGCCAAAAACTGGGGGGTTTGGGGGTGTTCAGGGTCTTTGGGAGCTTTTATGTGCTATTTTCTGATTGCATATAGACAACATAGCTGGCCTGGTTGAATTACCCCTGTTTCAGAACTGGGCGAATCAGAAAACAGCCGAAGACCACCAAACCCCCAGTTCTATAGCCTGCTACAGAGGCTAGGCTTTTGGCCTTGCACTGATCAAACTAAGAAAAACACATTGTGCTTTGCAGGTTTCTTTGCTGAAGACAGTGACCTGAAGAAGGCTTTCCTGAAGACAGCAGACAACAACCGTGACGACTACAGGTTTGCCTACACCGAGGCTCGCGATGTTATCGACAAGTATGGATACCAGGACGAGTGAGTACTGTAAAACTCAGCATTTCTTTTTCACAAGCTCCTGGTCTAGTACATTGGTTGTAATAGCTGTCATAGTGTTTTAGGTTAGAATTGACAACATATTGTTACAAGCAAGTGCTTGTAAGTAAGTCAATGACAATAATATTTCTGAGCAGGGACTCTAGCAATGTAGTGTTGGTGTGTTACCTTCTACAATTGTCCTTGTTTTGTTGATGAATACCCAATCAAGTTTTGATGACAGTTGGCTATAGCTAGTTGGCTACATGTACAACTTGCAAAAGATTGGCCAAAATTATAATGAAAGTTCATCTTGTGTTCAGTGGTAGTTACATGTTTAGAGTCAAAACTTTTAGATCCAACACAAGGTACTAAAGTTTTAACTCTAAACATTGGCCAAAATTGTTTAGGTCTAGGTCCAGGCCGATACCTAAACTTACTTGTACCTGAAGTTTATTAGGGTACACAGTTCTTATAATATGATTCTTCGGTTACAAATTTGTACAAACTTTTGCCTGACCGATCTTCCTTCCCCGCTCCAGTGCTGTCGTGCTGTTCTACCCGCCGCGACTCCACAACAAGTTTGAAGAGAAACAGCTGGTCTACGACGGGAAGGCCTCCGAAAACAAGATCAAGAACTGGCTCAAGGACAACGTGTAGGTTTTCATTACGTGCGATCTGGATTTTTCCCTGCCCAGTATTAATGTTATCATAATATTACTAAAATGATGATTTGTATATGATATTAAGTATTAACTTTCGGTTAATTTTTTGAAATACAGAATAACTTCTGTGTTCTAAGATAGCATTAGTTGAAAGTAAAGGAAACTTGTGCTGCAAGGATAATTTCGTTGTCAAAATAACAAGCTGTCATCATCATAAATAAGCCAAACAGGCATGTACATTTTGTAGAATACTGCTTTCATTTATCATAAAAAAGGTTGTGTTATATTCACCTGAATCCTGGTCAATCTGTAACCTTTCCCAGGGTAATGAGACTGTCCATGTAGTTAAGACAGTATAGGCTGTTCAGTAACCTGAACTATGTTCTTGGAACTTGGAATGTTAACCATTCTGTAGCCTCCGTAGCAGGCTTATAGAACTGGGGGTTTGGTGGTCTTCGGCTGTTTTCTGATAAGCCCAGTTCTAAAAACGGGGGTAATTCAACCAGGCCGGCTATGTTGTCTACATGCAATCAGAAAATAGCACATAAAAGCTCCCAAAGACCCTGAAGATCCCCAAAACCCCCAGTTTTTGGCATGCTATGGAGGCTAACCATCCTGCCTGTTCCTTTGTCCTAACCAGTCTAGGACTGTGTGGCCACATGACCGACAGCAACCAGGACAAGTTCAAGAAGCCTCTGGTGGTGGCGTACTACGATGTGGACTATGTGAAAAATGCCAAAGGTGAGACCACTTCTGTTTGTCACTAGGTGCTGTCTTCATCATTGAAGAAAAATGCAGTTACCTAACTATTCTCTGTAAGTTGCTATACATTTGTATTTTACTTTCATCCATATCTATAATCTGTTTCTTTCTTTTTCAGGAAGTAACTACTGGAGAAACAGGTAGGCATTTTTAAACCTGTTTTTAGGCCATCTGTTGTGACTTTTTTCATGCCATATGGTTGCTTCGGTGTTTGGAGCAAGCAAGTCACCTAGTTTCAATAAAGGTAGCTTCCAACATTATAAGCTTTGAAATAAGATTCTTTCCTTCGTGGTAATAAAAATGCATAGAAATATGTACATTTTGGGCAAGTGAAAAGTTGGTTTGGGCAAGTGGAAATGACCATGTGCTTGCCTGATAGGGCATGTGGATTTTTCTAAAACTTGTCCAACCCTGTATCATCTGACTTCTTTACCTGTTACTTTTAAGGGTGTTGAAGGTTGCCACGAAGCTGAAGGAGGAAGGGAAGGACGTGAACTTCGCCATCGCGAGCCGGGGAGACTTCTACAGTCACCTGTCAGAGTTCGGGCTGGACTCCAGCAGTGCAGACAAGCCTGTTGTGGCAGCCAGGGACAAGAGCGACGACAAGTACATCATGAAGGACGAGTTCAGGTAATATCAGAAAATCTGTCTAGATTGCAGGTTTAGTTAAGCCCTGTTTCCTCTAGACACAGGCACTGAGCAACCAAAATAGTGTAGTGTCACCCTTTACTTTGAATATGATTTTAAAGAAAGTAAGAGTAAGGAAAAAATTTCTGTTTGATTGTGAAATTTGTTAAGCAATCTGTCAAATGTTTGGTTGCATGATCTAGGGTAAGATAAAAGCAAACTTGAGCTCGTGTTGAAGTAGGATAAAACCATTGCACACACACGAAGTTTTGGCCAACTTGCAATATCACGTTTATATTTTAACAGAAAAAAATGCATGTCAAGCACTGACTCCTTTCATGATTTATATCCAAGAGCTGGTAGCTGTTAGCTGAGGTAGGGGAAGACCCAGAGTCACCTACTTACACTCTCCCTCAGGATCGGTTCAGATGAAAGCTTGGACCAAGAAAGTAAGTTGTAGCTGTTCTGTTGTCTTGGCTTTAAAAGACACTGCTTGATTTTTCTCCCTCCCAGTGTTGACAACCTGGAGAAGTTTGTGCGAGACTTCCTGGACGGCAACGTGAAGAGGTACCTGAAGTCTGAGCCAGTTCCTGAAGACAACGACGGACCCGTCAAGGTAACAACACCTGTGCTTTTCTCACCTGTACTTTTTTCTAGTATTGTGGTTATGATGTAGGGGCATTAGACATCTGCGTGTAAAATAACCAGCACACTTATCGCGAAGACTAAGTGTTACCCAGTGTGCTTGGCTAAAACATGAGCTGAAGCAAAGTTGCATTGCACTTCCAGCAACTTGTGAAAACTTTTACTTCACCACAATTACAAATGCTTTCCATTTTTTAATCATTTAAAACTACCACTCGCATTTGAGCTGTAAAATTTTCGCAACTGTGCACAAGGGCTTTACCTATTTTTTATCATTCACAACTGTTTTTATTGTACTAGCTGAAATGTCTGACCGTTTCCAAAATCACATCCAGTTGCTTGAGTAACTGCTTTTTGGGGTATCATATTACCATGTCTAACCTTTATTGACGTATGTTGCGTTACCTTTCCTTTTCAGTCATCATCATCATAGTCCTTTTTGTTCTGTTCATCGTTTCATCATTCACAACTTTTTTAACAACTACTTAAACTTGTGACACTCTCACGACTAGATGATGAGACTTGTGACATGACTTATGGTCTGTTTCCCAGGTTGTTGTGGCGGAGAACTTTGATGAGATTGTGATGGACGAGACCAAAGACGTGCTGATCGAGTTCTACGCTCCGTGGTGCGGCCACTGCAAGAACCTGGCGCCAAAATGGGACGAGCTCGGAGAAAAGGTACGTTGGCGCTAACGCACTGTTGACCTACTCTCCAAGCAGAGGCTGTGGGGGAATGATCGTTACCTTTTTATATATGGTCGTTTTTTTTTTGTCACTACCCCCACCCGTCGGTGGCCGGCGACCTTCTCTGGCTAATGGATACTGCCTGGCCAATTTGATACTGTCTTTTTGCCACCGATAGAGATCTGCTTGGAGATTACTGTTGACCAAAAATCCAATGAAAATTGTGGAAAATGGGGGTTTCATGCAGGCGCAGTATCTTCTGCCTACGTGCAATAAAAATAAAAAACATCAGTATTTTGCCTAAACTCAGTCGGTGCTTTAGAGCCAACTGGACTTCATCTCAGCAGCATACAGTTAAAACTGCAGACACACAAACAAAACAAACTTCACAAGACCACTGAGGGGACCAATAAATATGGTCTATGTGGATAGGTAGTCACTATATGTCAATTTCATATGTTGAATATTGATTGTTCTGCATATGCCTCAGCTTATATGTGTGTCATGTTTGCTGTTACTTACAGTTGAAGGATACAGAAAGCATTGTCATTGCCAAAATGGACGCCACAGCTAACGACACACCCGGCAGCTTCAAAGTCTCAGGGTGAGTTTGTCTCAGTTGTCTTTTTTTTTGTCCCTCATGTCTTCGAATTCCATTTAACAACCATTCTATGATCACGACTCTTTCAGGAGAGAAGTAAAAGAGCTCTGTAACAAAGCCAACAAATTCCATCCTACTTTAGCCCACATTCACAAATAAACAAAAAGAAAACTACAGAAAAAGTGGGATCTTTTGTCCTCCACTATCTCGAAAACAGAAGTCAAACGGAAGTTGTAATTGTACAGTCAACTCATACTACAGTGGTCAGACGTTATAATGTTCTTCCTTGTTTGATCGATGTTCTTACTATTCTTATTGTCCAATTTCTTTGTAGGTTCCCAACGATATTCTGGGCCCCAGTAGGTGGAAAAGACAATCCAGAAAAATACAATGTAAGTATTCTTACCTCTACTGTTTTCAGTTTACATCTAGACAATAGTTTTGGACGGTCACACTGCTGTGAAGAGCCACCTAGCAGTTGTCTCACATATTGCAGGAGCCAGAACCAACTTGGTTCTGATGGCAGTTTGTTACTCCTGTGTACATATATTCTGTTTGTTTGTCTGTCTGTCTGTCTGTCTGTCTATCTGTCTGTCTGTCTGTTTGTTTGCTTGCTTGTATACAGCAATTTGAATTGAAGGTTAAAATGTGTGTGGGGGGGGGGAGGCTGGAAGGAAGTGGATAATACAAAGGTTATCGCATTTCCTGTTTTCAGGTTCCTGCTATGTTCATGTCTGTTACATGTACCTCATGGAAGCCAGTGGGAAACTGCATTAACAAAATAAGTGTGACATTCACAATAACAAGTGGTTCACAAAAACTCTTAGTCTTGCTGAACATAGTATAATGTCCTTGGTTGCTGAATGTTGCTTTAATTTTTTTACAGGGTGGGCGAGAAGTTGACGACTTCATGTCCTTCCTGAAGAGGAAAGCCACACACGCGAAGGACGAGCTTTAAGTCAACACAAACAGCTTAAGATTAAGATAGAAAAACATTAACTCCACGTAGCAGTCAGTCCATACATTACCGTGCAGATAGCTTTATTATGTATATGTCAGCAAATGCAAGAGACATGAAAAAAAGAACTATTGTGGTCTTCTAAACACCCGACTGCTGCAGCAGTGTGTAATATCTTTGTGTTTTGTGTCGTACTTGACTTTACATCTGCAGTGTTACACCTTCAACAAGTGTACAAATAGCTAGCTGAAGAGGCAATGTTATTCTGCTTACATCTTCTGTAGATATCTTTCTTATCTAAGAAACGACAGGGGGAAGGGCAGTTATGATCACAAGCAAATGTCACTCAAATTTTGTAGTGTGTAGCAATTTCAGAAGCTGCTGTCAAATTTGCAAGAAGTATATGCAACAGTAACTCGGAGAAATCTGGTTTTACTGGTTTAGGTATGACTACTGTGTTTCCTACTTGGTACAAAAGCTCTCCCTTTGTTTTATGCTGGCTCTATAAGTCAAGCTTTTTGGGGGCTTCAAATGTGTTTTATTTTTTTCTTTATATCAGTTCTCGGTACATGGTTTCTGGCGCACAAGGAAAAAACCCAGAAAACTGAGCTGCCCAATAGCCTGGCTTGTAACCTGCTAAGGAGGCTAGTTTAATACAGAGTAGGCTTGCAGTTTCATTCCTGCCAAAACGAAGCCTTGAAACATTCCTAGGTGGAGGTATTAAACTAGTTTGAAGTAGAGGAAAGCTCTGTGAGCATCTCTACTGTTCTGCATCGTGTGTGTAATGACTAAGTTAACCCTTCCCATCCGTGTCCCGTCATAGCTGAGCATCCAAGTCAGTTCTTGGGAGTTAAAAACTGACAGCTGTTGTAACAACGCTGCTCGTTTCCAATATCTTGCACAACACAAAACATAAAATATCAGTCGTGAACGCTCATGTTTTTATGTTTTGTTATATCACCAATTGCTAAAGCAAGGACTTTGTGTAGATTTCATCCTATATCTTCTCAACTCTATGATATGCAACTCCACACAATAACATGATTTTGTGAGTCCAAAGTGCAGCTTTTTACATTGAAGGGGGACCATACTGTAGTTAATGTGATGTGAGATCTTTGGACATTTTACAATCATGATGATGAAACAGCCAATTATTTCATGTTCCACTCACACAACAAGAGTTCACAAATAATGACAATTGAATAAATTGTGGTGAGCCTTACCTTCGTTGATCTAATTTTTGTATGTTAGTAATTAGTTAGGCGAGACTCAATGAAGCCTTGTTGAATCGTACTTATGCGTGGTCTTTCGTACCATTCATATCATGCATACTTAGTACTCTACATCCATCCTTAAAATTCTGTCAACACTACTGCAATGTGTCAGACTTCCGCATGTCGGCGCTGCTAACAGGTCGGGCTCGACCCAATGATGCCGACGTGACCGTGAAGTTCCTGCCAGGATCAAGTTGCCAAAGCGAGCTGCCTGCAGTGCTTTCTTTATCCGCATGTCGGCGCTGCTGACACGTCGCGCTCGACCTAATCTTGCCGACGTGACCGTGAAGTTCCCGCCAGGATCAAGTCCAAAGCGATCTTCCTGCAGTGCTTTCTATATCCGCATGTCGGCGCTGCTGACACGCCACACTTTTCCGACGTGACCGCGCAATCTACCGGAGTTCCTGCCAGGATCAAGGCAGGCATCCGTGCCGTAAATTGCGTGCCAACAGGATCCGCGCTTCAAATGTTTAGCAGATGCGCGCGGCTGTCTCGGGTTGAAATCCCACTGGGGACTTTTCGGGGGAAGTCAGTCAGGGAGTCGGCTTTGCCAGCTCCAGCTAGCCCGGCTGCCTTCCACACCCTCGGGCGATGGTATTCATCGCTTTGTAACTCGTTGGTAGATCGGTCAATGATCAATTTGTTCGCGGCGATTGGGGGAGGTTCGTGCTGGGAGTGGGGTGGGGTAAGGAGGAGGAAGGAGGGGAACAACCAATGTTGATGCTGACGGGAGGAGGAGACCATTTCAAGTGTTTTAGGCTCCATATGGGAGAGCAACCCCCTCCCCACATTTTTGTTACTACATGTAGTATCGTCATTATTTCAGGCCTACGTTGAAAATTGTTTCTCGAATTTTACATTAGACGAAACATGTTGAACGGAAAGAATGTATGGTGGGTATCTAGTCAGTTTTATTCCAAGGAACCTGTTAACTTTGGGCGATGGTACGTTTGCATTTCTTTCAAACACGCAGATTTTTTAGATACAAATGTATTTTATAGACAACACTTTGTATCACAATGGGAGTAAAAAATCGACTTTACTAGATGTAACTAGTATTTTTTTCAGTGTCACCATATATTAAAGTGTCCCACTGTACATATCAATTGCTACATGGTAAAAAAACTAGATAAATAAATGCCAATGACCTTGGAGGTCAAAACTTGTCACCAAGGGACCGATCGCCCCGAACCCGTGCGGGGTATTTGTTTGCCAACTCAGAACAGTTTTCAACAAACTCTTCAATAGTGTGTGTCGACTTTAAACCTGCAAATATTTGATTTCGGAGTGTTATACGTCAGTTTGGCCTTGGGGGACACGCATTTGATAACTTATCGACCACCTCCCCCTCCGTTGTTATTGGACAGTCCCCATATCCCATCTATGTATGCCTCACTATGGAGTTGACGACTTGGCAGAAGAACGTCTTTGATTTTATTTTTCTTCACCTAAATTTTTCGCTCCTCGTCCGTTTTTGTTCGTCCCAAAACTTTCAAATCTTGTCCTGAACTGTTGGAAAGCAAATCTGTGGCAGCTATATAACATATACTAGTATATTTGGGAGTGTATATTGCTAAATTGGCCCTACTTCTCCAGAGTTTATGAAGCTCCGCCTTTTTTAATTAACCCTTGTTTGTGAGCTGCCACGGTCTCGCCACCCACTGTGGCCGTGCGAGGCGGGGTCTAACTTCACTAGTAATCCTGGTCAGTGGAGGTGCGTGCACACACAGCACAGCTTATAACCCCCCCTGTTTAAACAAGCAAATTAATGCGCGTCGCCCTGACGACCATTGATCTGGTATCACGGTGCTTGGCCGACTGTCAACACATGCCCGAGTATTTGTGTGCACACGTGTGTCCACCGTTCACACCTGGTCCGCACCTGCTGGGTCCGACCGCATGCAAATGAGCCCCCGCATACTTGGGGTCCCTTCCCGGCTCCCGGCCGATCGGTCTCGCCTGCCCTGCCCGCCCCCTCCCCCCATGCGGTCCCCTAGCCTCTGCCAGGCATCGCTGGAAAAATACAGTAGCACTGTAGAAATTGGCCGAAATAAAGGGATAGCATGCCTGGGGAGTTAGCCGGTCAGAGAGGATCCAATATGCGCACCACTGTTCCTTTATTTGGGCCAATTTCTAGTATTTTTCGAGCGATCCGCGGTGCCTGGTAGAGGCTAGCAGTACCCAAAAAGCAAGACAAAACATTCCTTCCCCCCAATAGTACTAGTAACATACTGTTACTGCATGCCAGCCAGCCCGAATTCGCGCCCTTCGCTGGCTGTTCTTTGTTCGCAGTATTTGTATTATTTATCCCATCTCCCCTGCACCACAGGCGGCCAGTTGTTGTCTGCGCCAAAGAAATGCTTCCCGTCGAGTGGCTAGAATTTCTTTCCCACATTCTAACTCAAATGTGGCCCAAAAAACACTAGCCACGTCCACATGTGTGTTAGTCCAACCAGAAATACGTAAGTATATCTAAACTACAAAACAGAGGCAGTATTGGCTTACAAAGTGACTCTTTAGTCAAACACGATTGCCAACAGTTTTGGACAGAAAAACAGATTTCCTGACTTTGTAAGTACACAAGTCACGTAGACATGTGTTACGTAGCCCGACCAGAAGTATATACTTAAGCTATATAACAAAGACAGCAGCATCCGTTTACAAAATGACTACAACCAAACATGATTGGCAAAAGTTTAGGACAGAAAAACAGATTTCCTCAGTTGTAAGTCTTCTTCCTTTCTTCCACGGTGTTGTCACCATGTATTAGCATGCGAAAAAAAAAAAGCCCGACTGTTGGGCGCCCCCAAGTGAGTGGGAACCATTTGATGTGGGACCGCTTTTGGTGTTCGGCATTCATTCACCACACGCACAACAAGCACGTTTTCTAATTCACTCGCAGTTTACCCTTTGAACAAACACTGAAAGGGCCCTTTGTGTACCACCGCACACCATAGATATCTAAAATAGCCCAATAGGTGATAAGGAATAGCAATTGGTGAGATAATCCCTGGTAGGGGGATTTGGGGGGACCCAAATCAGGTTTACATAGGAGGGAACTTACACTACTAGTTACAGGGATACGTATAGCGAAACCTAATAGCCGACTAGGATACATGTAATACTGCTCTAAAAGAAACCGAACCGAGCATGCACAACACACAATATACAAGACACAAACACACTCATACTGGAGACGAAACAACCTTTCACAGGCCTTTATTCTTTACAACTTCCTTAGAAGAAGGGGAATACTTTTAGTAAGTCTTTTTTGAATAATTTAAAATATACAACTAAGCCTCACATGCGTCTAGGCGGGTGAAATGTAGAGGGGAAAAGTGTTTTTATCGTTACTCAACAGGAACCGAACTGAGGTAACAAGAACCGAACGGCCATGTTGAAATGGCTTCAACTGCAAGGTGATGTAGGTTAGGCAGAGGTTTCAAATGTCAGCTGAGCATGGCCAGAACTGTGAATACTGAGTAGAAATTTCCTATTTTAGTCATGTTGACTAAAGAAGTCTACACCAGAAAAATCCAGTGTTTCCAAAACCAAGAACAGTTTTGAAGGTATGAGCTTGAGCATGTGGAATTTGTGGGATAGTTGTTGTACCACATCAAATGTCGGGCAAACTAAGAAGTACATTCATGGGGTGGTCCAGGTAATAGTTATGCTAAAAACAGTTACTCAAGCAACTAGATATAATTTTGGAATATCATATCCAGTTGCTTTGGCCAGCCTTACTACGGAATTCTTTCTTCTTTCCATGTACTGGTCACAATTAATAGACACAAGCCCACTCTCCACAAACATATACTTCTTGGTTTGCCTCTGAGTTAAATCTGGCCCTCCTTTGTTTGTATACTTTTTAATTAGGCACCTTGCTTTAATACTAGGGAAGTACGCCTTGTTTAGCTTACGACTAACCAATAGTATTCTTTGCATCTTAAATCTAATGTTGTTAATGTGTTCCGGTGGTCAGGAGAAGGGGAGGAGAGGTAGAGCTTGAGTTCTGTGGCGACACAGAGTCGTGATGTTTCCTGAAGCGTTTATAAGTTATGTTCCTCGCTCAATTTTGGCTCGGGGAAGTTTTGTACAGGTATAAGAAGTGCCATCGATACTAATGCTACTACCATAATTATTAATAGTAGAAAAAGCACAGCACAACATATTCTTCTCAACATATGTACATCTGTTGTGTGCTGTGAGCGTTGTATATAAAGTCTTTTTTATAATTGAAATATATATTAGATTATTATATTAGTTATGTTACAAAATAAGACCAATTAGTTAATAAAATTATACAGGAGATGAGTAGCATGTACAGGGAGAGAGTCCGCCTGGGAAGAGTTCTGGACGGGGCGCTGTTCACGGGCGTTTGCGACCCCGAGATGGTAGACTCGATCGTTCTGTTTCGGTGAGTTCTCCCCGGGTTGGGGTGCAATCTGTACACGTCCTCCAGCGCACTCTTAGCTGCTAATGTGAAGTTGGCGTCTCCCGTGGTCATCAGATCGAACACACAGGAATCCAGGTAGAAGTCTGTCACATTGCTCTGCCTGCACTTCTGAATCGCCATGTCTTTCGGCATGGCAATCTCGCTACGGTGTAAGACCGTGTTCGAGGAGGACTGCGGAGGGTTTCTGAGGAATTCCACGTAGTCTATTCTCTCGCTCAGCGGGCATCCTTTCACGCACAGTTGCAACCCGTCCTCGTCGAAGTTCCCCGTGTTAATCACGTCCTCCGGCATTCGGATAGCGAACGTCAGGTAGTTCCCGATCTGGCGAAGCACGATCGTGGTGTCGATGTAGCGCACATGGATCTCCACGTGACGACCCGGGACCCGCACGTCCAGCACCAGGCTGCGGATCCCGTTTGGCCCGCCGCTGCGCGTCCCGTCGGCGAACGCATCGGGAAGATTGTTCTGCTGCGCCTGGTAAACCTTCTCCCGCGCACACTCAGCCACTTCTCCCTTCACAATCACCGTCAACTGCAGGGGAAACAGGAGAAATTAGATACAGCCTTCAAAGATACAAATTACACTTCTAAATTCTTGTGATGATCGGTGATTTGTGAGTGCATATATTTTGTCTTCTAGTTCTACAGCTATAGTTCTAGTTCTAGTTCTACTTCTCCCTCCACTACCATCAACTGGAGGAGGGAAACAACAGAAATTAGATAATTACATAGAAAATGGTTTTCAGGTAGAATTTGTGTTGATCCATGACTTGTCAATATTACATCTTCTAGTTCTACTACTATTCAAATTTAGCCTGGTCAGTTTACGTCCGCTCCCACAGTCGCTACCACCATGGAGGTAGAAAAAGAGACTACCTCCATGCTACCACCAACTACTATTAACCAAGATGGTACCCAAATTTTTCTTCCTCTACAATTATTGTCAAGAAAAGCAGGAGAAGTTAAATGCAATTGAGTCTTTGAAAACACAACAAGAGTACATACAAATTTGGTTATCAACTTCAACCATCCAAGATTTCTCGACATGGTTTCTAGTTCTACAACTGTTAATATTTTCCCCTTTACAATCACTTCTAACAGTCTGGAGGGCATAAAAGAATTAAATAATGCAATGTATTGTAATAGAGCCTTGAAAAAACACAATGGTCCATTCAAATTTGGTCAGAATTCTTACTTCTTTGCTATAATGATCCATGATTTTTTAATATGTCTCCTACATCAGCAACCATCCAAAGTTATTTGCTACACTGGTGAACTGGACAAAAGATGGAAATTGAAGTTTATGTAAGAAAGTCAGAAGCCCTACAGGAACCCAGCTGTGATGCAGTAGGAAAAGGTCTGGTTTCTTCATTTCCTGTATTTTGTTTTCTTTTTAGTCGCCTATGTAAACAACGGTAGGTCAAAATTACCATGAAAAAAAACTTGTCGCAAACAACTGAAGCCATGAATATTCTGAAGATAAGCAAACACATGCCAGTATAGCAACTGTCAAAGCAATCGTCCTAATTTTAGGGTATCTATTTCAAAATAATTTAAATGCAAGGAGCTGAGGATACAAGTTCTTGACTGAAAAGGTATCAGCAATACCTTAGATCAAGGACATTACTTAGGCTCTATAATCTGCAGGGTTGGACAAGTCCCATTGCCCACTTGCCCAGGGCAAGTAAAAGTACTGTTCGGGCAAGTGAATATCCCTCTGTACTTGCCCGATTGGGCAAGTAAATTTTTTGGATGCCAAGTATAGCCGCTATGGTGTTTGGAGCAAAATTACTCATCATTTTGCCATATTGATATTATATTAATGCCCTTTTGTCAGAAAATCCATTGCAAGTCTCAAACCGCCTTATTTTGATAAATTAAGCATGTAGCATTATAAACTCTGAAATGAAATAATTTCCTTGCTGGTAGTAAAAATGCATAAAAATGTCATGTATATTTTGGGCAAGTGAAAAGTTGGTTCGGGCAAGTGAAAATGACCATGTACTTGCCCAATAGGTCAAGTGGATTTTTGAAAACTTGTCCAACCCTGATCTGAAAGTTTGGTACTGAATATGTGCATCAGTTGGGTCATCATAATAATCCTTACAGTACTGCATCTTCTTCAACTTTGCAAGAGCTTTATAGTTGGATGCCCATCAAATTAAATACCATAAAATACAGTTCAGGGCTAAAATTCTTCTAATAATACACTTTTGCAAAGATTATGTCTGATTTGTCCTTAGATGCAGCAAGCTGGATTGCACAGGACTTCAGAGCTTCTGATATGTATGCAAATTTCGGGACACTTCTAGGCTAGATAAATAGTGGTATCATATCGTTTGTTGTTGTAATTTTTTCAGAGGCACGAAAGTCAACACTGGACCAGTCTTGGGAAGAAACAACCCTTTTTTGGGGGCTTCCAACTCTAGAATTACTAATGTTGTTAGTCTACATGGGTGGTATTTTCTTTGTAAGTGCAAACTTCTAACCGTTGCCAGGGTTACAGCAACCAGGCATCTTAAAATTCTTCTTGTACATGAAAGCGATGGTTGTTACATGGATTAACAGCTATTTCCTCTGTACTGTAGGCAGGAGAAATGCAGGGTATTGTTGGAAAGTTTGGGAAAAATCTGTGACTTGATTTTTCAAAAACATTTTCATAATCGTCTTAATCACAGCAGCAAATCCAATCCAAAAGCTTGGCTGCAGTGATTGTTGTTGCCAATTTTAGTTTTTTCTTTATTTTACAAATTGAAATCTAAAATATCTCAAGACCCAAGATATATGACTGAAATTGTTGGTGATTTGAGAATATTTCTGGGAGACTTACAAAAATGATGTTGTGTCAGAATTTTTGCTTTATTTTCAAAAGAAACCACAACACAAGATAATAAGATTGTGCTAGTCGAAAAGTCATCATGTTTTCTATTACAAGTTGTCATTCAAGAAATATGATGCCGAATTAGGCCAGCTTAGAATATAATCAGCTAAAATAGGTCACCTCTCAACTGATTGTTTATTTAGGCCATGTTATAACCTGTGCAGTGCTTTGTTCTAGCAGAGTTGGAACTACGATACACTCGTATTTCCGTACTAGTTCTTCCACTGAAGTGTGCTCTTTGATTACCAAAGGATGACTTTTGAATTCGAGACAGAAGTGGCCTTCTAGCAACAGAGTTTGTATATTTTTTCAGTGGGGCCCACGTAGAGTGGGTATCGCGGGCGAACAGGGAATGGAGTGCCTGTGAAGAGGGTTATACATATTTCATGCACGCTATCGAGAGCTGTGAAAAACCTATTCTCGAGTGGGCTCGAAGGAAGTACCCCCTATTTGTGTGTGACTTCTTTTTTTTCCATGCCTACACTACAGTGTTCTTTCCAAGCAGAGGTTTTGGCTAATGTTTATTTTGGGCGTTTTTCTTTCAAGCTTTCTTTTTCAGATAGATTTTTAAAAAAAGAAAGATACAAGAGAAATCCCGATAAAATGACATAAAACAACAAGTGGATGCCTAAAACTCTGCTCTTAAGAGTACATTTTGTACTTCCAGTGTACAAAAGGTACGCGGGTAGATGAACTTTGGCACGACGGCGTGTCCCAACAGCCTGGCTAGTAAACACAGGGCTTAGTTCTAACCTTGTAACCCAACCGGGGGTACTTTGTGAGGGGCTGGTTTGGGGAATGCGACTTCAGGGCATGCACAAAACTAAACCGGTGTAAGTAAGTCAAGATACATCGGTGTACTGTACAGTATCATGGGTATGTAAAATCATTTTTTACCTTGGTAGTCGCTGTTGCGGTGAATCCGTGCGATGCTGCTACAGCTACCGGCACGTTGGTAACTTGCACTGCTAGGTAAGCGTTGTCTATGAGGGGCCAGGCCCTGTCTACTTTACACGTCTGAAAGTCGTCGTAGAACGTCCGTAAGTGGGGGTCCCCGAAAAGGCCGCAGTGGCGGTAGACAGTGTTGGAGCCGCCCCGGTACGCGCACATCGGCGGCAAATGTTCCTCGTGGGGGCTTCCCGGGCGAACTGGTGGGAACTCCTCTACGGGTGCGTCCGTGGGTACATGGGTGCAGTTGTGGGACTGCATCTGGGCCTGGAAGCCCCGTATGGTGGAGTGGTAGTGCAGGTCTCCCCGGCAGTTTCTGGCCGTACGCCGGGCGCAGTCGGTCGCCTGCCGTAGTGCCCGGCAGTACAACACCAGGTCCCGAAAGATCGCCGGGTTTAACGGCGCCGTACTAGCCACGAACTCCGAGTTACACTTGGTCACTCTGCACGCCGAGTCCGAATGTGCTGAAGGGTGGGAAACAAACACACATGTATGTTAGAGAAACTGTTGGGTTTTATTAAAAACAAAATAAGAGTCCAAACGCCCAAGGCGGCGAGCAGCCTAACCAACCAACCGCCCTCCCCCACTTCACTCGCGACACCCTATCCCACCCTCGGCGGCGCTGGCATGCGCTTTTACTGATCCCCTCCATTTCTTTTCTCCGGGACACCAGGATTACCTTAGCACAGAAACCGAGACAAAAGGAGTAAGAAGGAATGCTGTAGTTTCCTTACCTCTGTGGACCAGGACGGCGATGACTAGTAGCCGTAGTAAGACGGGGTAGAGCGGGCGAACAGCCTGCTCTAGCGTTCGCCCCGTCCCCATGCCCTTCCATGCACTGCACTGACAGGGCGAGCGGGTCGTCTTGCTGGCACGATATGCCCTGTAGTCATGAAAATAGAATGACAAAGTCGGCCATCAATCAACCTGACACATATTCAATAAGGTCCTGATTACGGCAACGTCTGCTGCCCGTTTCGGGCCCGAAACTGTCCAGTTTTGCTCCCATAGCTCCACAGAACCACCAGGCCGGGTTAGGGAGTCGGTAGGGAGAGGTTTTTAGGGGCCATGGCATTGGGAAACTGCTGTGGGAAGGAACAAACGCGCGGGTTTGGGACAGGACCACGTCGGAAACCCGATCGCGCGGCTGAATTTTTCTCCGCCTTCCCCCAGCTCGCCCGATCACATGGGGCCCGATCGAGTTACTCCAACCAGCTGTCAAATCTAATTGCAAATAAACACGGTACCGGGCTTCGTGATTGGCCGGCGGTGACACGGCCACAGAGGCGTGAAGTCTCTTTGTGCCGCCCGGACCTTTTGTCCCGGCCACTTTGTTCAAAACTACCCCGTGTCAATCACTCCAGTTTACGTTATTAAACTATTTCCACCCGACAGAATTTACGCTGCGGGTTAGTCTAACCCCTCCCTCCCTCTAGAGATACAACGGACGGTCCCTGTGGCTTCCCCTCTCACACAGATCGTTGACGAGTCGACAGCTTTTCACACCAGAAGTGCGAAGAGGCCGAACTTTCACAATTTGAAGCGTTTATCGCCCTTATTTCCCTCCCTCCCACCTCACACATACTAGTACACACGCACACGTACACACACAGTCCCGCTTGCGAGCGAGGTTTAGCACTCCAGGCGAAAGATGGCTATCTCTCTCTTCCTGACAAAATTTGTAGTTGTTGGGTAACAGATTGGGAGAATTAGCGCGGGAGACGTGGATTCAGGTGCGTGGACCCCTGATTAGGTTTTCCCTTTGTTGGTTCTCCACTTTTAATTAGGGCTTTCTATTCAGGCTTCAGAAAAGTCCTCTACTTCGCCTGCTTTAGCATGCACGGCCAGATCTCGCTGCAAGAGATAGTATCAGCACAGGAAATCGGAAAGAGTGTTCGCTTATCTGTTATCACGGCGAGCGAGGAGAATATATCTAATCCCGCAACACCGAAGTATCCTGTTCTATTTGTTTACCCGTGTGTGTACCCTCGCATTCTCCGGGTGAAACCCACACTACCCCGGACAAAGTGGCCTGTTCCTCCCGACAAGGGTCGCGATGCCAACGCGACACCGGAGAGCAGGACGGCGTTACGTCGGGACATTCGGGACCGCGTTCTTCTGTTTCCCACGACTTTCCCTAACCTCTGTCCGCGACATATCACGACATACAACTACCAGCAACACCCTGACTCCGTTTAAATTGTGTAGAAGTAGTAGAAGAAATGGCTTTGGCGAAATTATTATCATTATTATCATTATCATCAAATATACGTTATATAAGTTTTGCGGCCAATATTCACCAGGATCTAGCAATTAAATTTTTCTGTTTCCCCACGAATTTCTAACCTCTATCTGTACCAAATCACGACATACAACTACCAGTAACACCATGCTTCCGTTTAAAATTCGCGTAGAAGTAGAATATATAGTTGTGATGAAATCATTATCATTATCGTCAAACAATTTATAATATACTAGTAGATGTTGTGGTCAAATTTCGGCCATCAAGGACTCAATTCTTCTGTTTCCCACGACTGTCTAACCTCTATCAGCAACAAATCACGACACAGAACTACCAGCAACACCCTGTTTACGTTCCACGTAGTGTCTATGAAGAAACAGTTGTGACGAAATTATTATTATCATTCATTATCAAAATTGCGACGAAAATCCAGCCATTCAGGTAGGGTTCCATCCTGGTTAGTTAACGTCCGCTCACTACAGTCGCTACCGACCAACGGCTAGCCATTCAGGGATTAAATCTTCTGTTTCTATAAAACTATTCGCAACAAATCACAACATAAAAATTACTAGCAAGCTCCAACACCCTACTTCCGTTGAAAATTGTGTCTACGAAGGACTAGTTGTGTCTAAATTATTATTAGCAAGTTATACTTTATAAACGTTGCGGCCAAAATGCAGCCATGTTCGCGAAAACAAGTTTTAAGTGGCCTTATTGTGTCTTCTTCAATAATGCATGGTTTGTAATTGTTGAGGACACCCTTCAATGATTTACATTCTTTCACTTCGGGGTATGAATTATTTAAACGTCATGTTATATTCATAAGCAAGAATGGCCATTTCACGTTTGGAAAAAATGGCACGTACAAATCTGGGCCAAAAAAAAGCAAGTGAGGAAAAAATCTTCATACTCGTATAAAAGATAAAATCTGTTGGTATAATGAACTAAAAATTCATGGCGACTGTTTCTGTTGTGTTGGAACAAAATTTAAATTTTACAACTATATAAATCTACATGTTACTAGTATTGGCTAGATCTTTCTAACGTCACACAGATGCAAGAACATAAATATTTATTAAATACTTAATTTACTTTCGAAGCCATACCGTCACAGCATCTCGTATTGAACTATGAAGCTCCTCTGAGTTTATAAATTAGCTGAACTCAGCCAATTATCAAAAACGTGGGAACAATAGAGGGACAAAAACACACGCACCCTGCCGGGTCCAAAATACAAATCCTCAAACCCATGGGACAAGGCTTTATACCCGTACACTTGGGAGTTACGGACTTTCGGCTTGTCTTGGATTTCCCACTGTTGTTCTCTCATCCATATTCATGCGTTATAAGGGAGAGGCTTTCAACTTGGAACATCTGTTCACTGTGGAAGGACGTTCGAGCTAGTAAAGATTAGAGGAAAGAACTATTTAAGTCCTAGGCTAATCCTTATAGGCCCATTACACATAATAGAGATTTAAAACGCATCGGCGACAATATGGATATACCAGGGCAATGTCAATGGTAGATTCTTTAATAGAAAATTGTAGATCGTGTCGGTAAGAATTGTTTTGACAGATGCAGTTGAAAGGAAAGGTCCTGAAGCACATTTTTGACGGGGTTCTCGCCGCTTGAAGTCGTTCCAAAAAGGGGCTATCGAGTCTGTTAGAGTTGCGTGCCCAAAAATGTGCTGAGTTTCCCCTGGGGATTACCTTTTCGTGCCACAACCGTTTCAGCCTGAACCCTCTGCTCTCTCCCTCCTGACTGCGACCGGCACATCTGGTGCAACAATCCAACCCGGGATCTCACTGCCAAATATCCCCTGCACCACCACTGATCCACCCAACACAGCCTTGAAATTCAACCCGGCCCCTTGAACGAAATCCCACACTGGCTGCCAATTAATAGAACTTTATGGGGCGTTTATCACCTAATGGTCGGTAGCGTTAGTTGGGCTATTTACAATCATCCCGAGAGTCAATCACGGTAATTATCACTGGGGTATCAAATAAGATTTACACTTTTCTTAAAGTTCTTCCCATTGCTGTTGTTACTAACGTGTATTCGTTTTGACCCGGTGTCTGCTTGCGAGAGAGGCATACCAGACCAGACAGAGCACGTAGCGAAAGCGAGCTGTCTTCACCCCTCAATTTGCGGCGCATTCCCTCACTTCGCAAGTACACCCCAATATTGCCCGCTCGATGTAAACTATCGCTTGTCCTTACAAATCCCCTCTTCTTCTGATCTGAACGTAAAAATTTCCACAGGGGAATTGAAGAGACGAGATTGGAGGAAATTTGAGAAATTGAAGACACGTACCATGTGTCAACTCCCACAATGTACACAAGGGATGGTAAGTAAAAGTGATTGGAGATGCCATTCCATATTGAATGTTAGCAATTCTGAGAAACGCTGTAATACTAATCCTCTACGTGTCAGCTGTCAATTTTTTTTCTGTCCCGTTTCTATTTTAGGGTGGACGAGTTTTGAGGTGTGTACAGGGATATTGGTTCAGCTGCTAGCTATCACAGAGGAGCTACAGACACCACCGCCATTCACAGCAGATCAATGAGGAATTTTGATACGGTTAGCTTTCCAAACGCACATGCTTGTCAGAAAGTTCGAGTTCCGATATCTTCAGTCACTGTAGCAGCGATATACGTAACGCTACATACGGAATAGTTCGAATGTATCCTTCAAAACTCGTTGTTAGTTCAGCTGTTTGATTTTGTCTCATGATATTGAGAACTGAATATCGTTTGACAGGAGACATGGTAGTCTCCGTAGCAGGCTTACAGAACTGGGTGTTTGGTGGTCTTCGGCTGTTTTCTGACTAGCCCAGTTATAAAAACGGGGGTAATTCAACCAGGCCTGCTATGTTGTCTATATGCAATCAGAAAATAGCACATAAAAGCTCCCAAAGACCATGAAGACCCCCCTCCCAAACCCCCCAGTTTTTGGCATGCTATGGAGGCTAAGATCATGGCAAGTCGCACAGTATCGTCAGTAGATCGGCGAGTGTGGGTCAACCGCCGGCGGCCAGACTGACACCCCAGTAATTGTCTGTTTACGACTGGAGGAACCGCCGATAATACGACGGTGGCAACCCGCTCGGTAAAACACGATAAAACGCGGCCACTGGCAGTCGCCTCTTTCTTTTTCTGTAGCCTCTACCAGGCTTCGGAATCGCCTGGAAAGAGTAGAAATTAGAGGCGGAAAATGCACTCATTGAGCAGACCAACTCCCCTGGCTTGTTATCTCTCTATTTGTCCAATTTCTAACTCTTTCCAGCCGCTTCTGAAGCCTTGTAGAGGATATATTTTTAGGGGGGAGGGCGGGGGAAAAGTGCGGTAATGAGCCAGCTTTGGAAAAGCGTCTGGAAGAAATGGGGGTCAAGTGGAGATTAGCTGTGGGGTGTTCATCTGTAAAATCCCTCCGCGACGGTTTTAGACACATTTTACCTCGCCGAGAGGGAAATATCGACACCAGGATAGATTTGTTTACCAACCAGAAAAATATCATTACAATTTCTACTTCACTCTCTTTATAAAATGTCGATGTCATGTTTTAACCTGTACAAAAAACGAAAACAAAGGCATGTTTACTTAACTGACCAGTGCCAATATTTGAAAAATACATAAAGACTCAATAGAGTTTTTGCGCTTTTTGTTTTCACAGGAAATTCTGCTGCAGTGATTTTGGAATCTAACTACTGTGTGATGGAATTGTCAGCGCTTAATTTTACCGAACCACGACCACATTGTTCTCTAGTCAACCAAGTTATCATATAATTATACACTTCGACAGAACAGTGCCTCTATAGAGATCTAACAAGCCAGAAAAATCGGTGCAAGATACGGATACGTGCCCTGTATATATTTAGAACACCAGTGCGTTTAAAAATTACCGAGTGCCAGTCAACGCAGTAAATAATAATAAATGGGTGCCGTCTGCATGTTTAAACACACTATTACGCAACGACACATCAAGACAACAACATCACACAAACACAGGACCGCCGGAAGGTACAACACGGTTCAGTTCTATCAGACAGGCAGATAGAATTGCGTTTACAGACGACACATTCCTACCTAGACAGTAGACTAGAGCCTGGTCTTTCTAACCCTTCCTACTACAATATCCTCACAGAAACAGGTTAAAAACCTGGACGGATTGGCTTCTATGCAAACATTTCTCACATCTTTAAAACCATCACTGGATTAGATGTATGCGAACCCCACAAGACAAGCCTCTATGATCAGACATTCCGTTCAGAAATAAACAAACACACCTCGGAGTGGGAACGTGTCTGCTACAGCAGCAGGGCACAGGGTTGGCGCTTATATCCCACCCGTCTCTCTCGCCACGGTTCACAGTCCTCACACACATGCGGGCCTGCATTCTTCCTGTCCGCCTAGCCTGTCCACAGGCCGGATACCTGACGTGTGAAACCCTTCACAGCCTCATCATCACATCACCAAAACGTTTATACCATCCAGTAAAACAGTCGGTTAAAAACTACAGGGCTGCTTCGCACAGCCACCACCACAGTCTAGCCAGCCCCCATCCAGCCAACAACTCACTGTACCCCCGAAATGCCTTCAACCGTCAAAATGTCTACAGAGTGTCAGTTTACCTGACACGGTGGATGGCAGGGGCCATGGCGGCTAGGGGTGTGCATAATAGGCCCCGGCCTCGCTACAAAAACAATCCCAAGATTTGCTTCTCTCCCTACGTACTCTGTGCTTGCCTCCCCGTATCTTTCAAACACGTCTATAACGTTGCCAGAGATCGAGTGTTCGTCTCCCCACTTCGGCGGGGACGCAGGGCGTTCGGTTTGCCGTCGGTGGAAAACAGCTTGAAGGGCGCTTGAAGCCAGTTCAACTATGACGGAAAGGCCCTATCTGCCATTCAAATCCACCAGTGCGCGCTGAAGGGCCCAGGGCTCATGTTAGCGCGGTGGTATGCCGCGGGGCCGCGCGTTCCGACGCCGTGTACCCGCATTTTCCACCTATCTCCAAATCACGGCCATCCACAATCGATAAATTGCTCTTAAAAAGATACGACAGATTACGACAGCTAAACGGTTCCGACGTTACACTATAGCCCCGACCTTCCACTCACCACACAGGCGCATGCTAACCATTTTCTCCGGGGCAAATCGTGCTATAATTAAACCGGCAGCGCATTCCTAGCTTCCCCAACGTTCCCGGGTTAGTTTGGAACGCTAGGGGACAAAGTTAGTGGTGAAACTACGCCTCCGACATAATGTTGCCAAGCGATACGACCATACCTTCACTCTATCCGCGCGGACACTCCACCGTACAGGCTTCTCTGGTGTTCGGACAAAGTGTCGAACGCACACGATTTCACGTCATCACATGATCGCAATTCATCCAGAACCCCGTTCCCAGAGGGTTCTTTTCTGTAATCCGACATAATAGACGCTTTGTAGCGGCCAGTTTTGTTTCAACTACTTTATCATGCAAAGATATTCGAGCCGGGTCA